AAGAAATCAACTCAAGTTTGAGTATGTGAGTTCTCCATGGAAGACTCGATGTTTCCTACTAATAAAGCTTCTCCCCACTCTGCATGGACATAGAAAGAGTTGAATGCAGCTTTGTCAATGTTTCCTTAGAATTTTCTGAGAAGACATCACTCATACTATCACCTGTGTCCCAATTCATAATCAGTTTTTTCCATTTGTCAGAAATTTGAAACTTTGAAACTTGCTCTGGGAAAACATTAGCCTGGTATCTGGATGTAGGGACCTGGAAATGAATGATTCTAAGTCATGTCTGAGCACACAACAAAACCAAGTGAGATTTTTAGTGAGACATGACTGGGAAGGGAATGGGAAAGGACATTTCTCATCTATCTTGCCCTGATACAGTTCTCTACAGTATTTTGCTCATAAATACACTAATTGAATATTTATTGAGTACCTACAGTAGGTGGGAACTAGGCTGGATACTGCTTAAACAATAGTAGTTGCAAAGCCGACCTGACCTTGCCGTCATGTGAGAGATAATGAATGAACTGCATAAATGTGTTGAAGCAGCAGCTGTGATGAGTGCTGTAGAGAAGAGTCTATCACAGAGGGATCTGATTATTTCAGACCTCCTAGAAGGGAGCAGTACCTGAGGATGATGGGAATGATTTAGAAAGTCACTTGTGTTTAGTTCTTTACAAAACTTTGTGCTGACAGTGTGATAGATGCTGGGGCCATTCCTATGGTTCAAAACCTTTGTAGTAGAGTCACCCTGAGTTTATGAAGTTCTATGTTGGAGACACACTCTGATTAAATAGATTTGGAGCCGAGTCTAAGTATCTGAATACTTAATGACCCCATATGATTCCCTATAAGTATTGCTAAGACTGAAACCATTGAACCACACAGATGGAAAGAAGGTTCTTACTCTCAAAAACTCACACTGTAGTGGAGAAATATATGTGACCATGGAGACCACATAGCATAGTCAGTGTTCTGATGGAGACAGAAGAGGTGGCTGAGGAGTTTGGGGGAATCAGGGATCAGCTAGTTCCAAAAAAATGAGCAACAGACAGCCTTGTATAAGTGAGTGAGCATGATACCCTAGCCCATAGGTATAGAACAAATCAGGAACCCTGCTACACTCATAAATCTGGTTATTTTTCTGTAGCATATGCCATGTATAAATTGTGTGTAATTTGTAGGATTATTTGGTTACCATCTTTGCCACCCTAGTAGAATGTCCACTGAGAGTCTAAAGCTATCTTTTAGGAAACAAGACAATAGGATTCCACCCCAGCCCTAGTATTAAGTGGTACCATCCTAAGTAACACACAATATTTCAAGAATATGTACTCCTCTCATCTTTAAGTGCAAACTGTGTAGACCATGTCTGTTTCTGACTCTCTGTTGTATTTCCAGTGTTTATCACAAGGCTGATGACTATCTGATGAATAATTAAATGACTGAGCAAGGGCTTCCAGGAGTTTTGGTAGGTTGTGACATTAGCCCTTCATCTTAGAACTATGCTTTTGATTGTGTCATGAAGAGTAAGCTATGGGAAGCGAAATGGCAGCAAGGCCAGTTTAGGAGCTCAGTTAGGCCACTGTTCAGAAGGGGTAGCAGAGCACCCCTATAGCACTCTGGAAGGCCAAAGCAGAAGGTTCAAAGTTTGAGTACAACCTGGAAACTTAGTGTGATCCTGCTTCAAAATTTTAAAAAAAGGACTGGGAGGAATGTAGACTGGTGCAACCACTGTGGAAATCAGTGTGGAGAGTCCTCAAAAATCTAGGATTAGAGGTGCCATTGACCCAGCTATACCCATTCTGGATATCTTCCCAGAAGAATTAGAAGCATCATATCATTGCAATATACACACCCATTTATAGCAGCATAGTTTGAAATGCTTAAATCTTGTAAACACCCCAAATGCCCATTGCCCAAGGAGTGGATAAAAAAGATATGTTTTTTTAAGTTGCCCAGACTATACTCAAACTTTGAATCTTCTGCCTCAGCCTCCCAAAGTGCTATGGGTGTACTTTGCTACCTCTCCTGAACAGTGCCCTAAATGTGCTAGCAAACTCGGCCATAAAGAAGCATAAACTTGAGACATTTCTGGGTACATGGATGCAACTTGAGACCATACTCTTAAGTGAAGTAAATCAAACTCACATGTGTAAATATCTCATTGTATCCCTGGCATGCTAAAATTAAAGGGTAAATAAAGACCAAAATGTACAATAAATATTGTGAAATGGCAAGAAATTGTTCATGAGGAACTAGGGAAGGGGCAGGGGAAAGGAAGGAAGAGGAAAGCAAATACAAATGATTAAAAGAAAGATAAACTAGAAGGAAAGCTTTGCAAATAGGGAGAGGAAGAGGGGTTAAAAGGAGGAGGGGGATTGAGGAAAAAAGAACCAAAATATATCATGTCCAGGTACAATTTTCTTATGATGAATATGATCACTATGTGAATCTAAAATGTACCAATAAATTTCAGTTTTAAAAAGAGGACTGAGAATATATCTTAGTGTGAGGTTTGTGGGCTCAGTCCCTACTATCAGAAAAAGGGATTGAGTGGCAGAAAGGGGATCAATTAGAGACACATTACTAGATACCATAAGTGTAAGCACTTGGTGCTTATTTGTGCTGGAAGATAATAGGAGGATGAGGTCAGCAGCAGTTCCCAAGTTTCTGAATTGAGCCCCTGGGTAGTAGAGTGGTCCCTTGTAAGAGATAAAGAACCTGAAAAGAATAAAAGCTGAGCAATGATGGAGTCATCTCTTTTTGAGAGAGATGCTAGAGAATACTCCCAAGAGGTAGTTGGATGGGTGAATTTGCAAACATTATATAGGCAGAAACCATAGAGGATGCTTTTGTTGAAATCTCATGGCACTGGAAATCTAAAACTTTCTTTTAGGAAATAAGACAATAGGATTCCATCCCAGCCCTAATATTAACTGGTGCCATTTTAAGTAACACACAATATTTCAATAATAAGTGTTTCTGTCATTTTCCATAGCAAACTCTATGATTTCTTTTGACTTTGACATAGGTATCTTCAGATAGTTCTAGAATTTAGAGAAAGGGGAACTTTCTATTGAAAGGCTTTATCACAGATAATTGGATATAAGGAAACCTACCTGATGCTATGTTAAGCATAAAAGTTAATACATGGTTTCTTGGAGTGTTGTGCTGAAGAGTATAAGCAGAGGCCAAGTTTACCAGAAATAGCTCTGTGATCAATGGTGATGTCTGCAACAGACACAGAGAGAACAAGTGTAACATAAAGTTCCCCTCCATCATCTTTCAAATGCATCAAAATATGTTTCTTGGACCTAGGTTCCAACTTGGTTCAGCTATTAGGCTTCGGTAACTTAGTTAAATCATTTTATGTGTTTGCATTTAACAGTTCTCTAACTGGTCAAGCAGGAATAATAATCTCTATATTTCCTACTTTTGTTATCGAAAGGGTCAAGTGAGAAAGAACATGGAACCATGATAGTCTCTGTGAATTTATATAAACTCTTCAGTAATAACACTTTGGGATGTCAAAAATGGGGATGAAGGAACACAGATAACACTATTTCCTGAAAGATATAATTTCAAAAGTTTATCCTTAAGAAATTAATTTTAAAATTGTATAACATCTTATAACGTAAAATTGTAGGGTAGAACAATAGGAAATAAAAGCAGTCTCATAAAATCAGAAAATAAGTATCAAATAAGGGAAAAGAAGAAAAGAAGAGAGGAAAGGAGGGAGAAGTCATTCATTGTAGGGAAGAGTGTGAAATAGAGTGAAAATTGGTATAGCTCTTTTGACAAGAAGCTGGCAATGCATATAATGAGATTTAACAATATTTATAATCTTTGGCCATGTAATCCCATTTTGGGTAATCTAGATCAGATGTCAGGAAACATTTAAAACACTGGATATAAATACTTCAGGATCTTCAGGCCATATAATATCTGTCACCAAGTACTCAATTGTACCACAGCTCTAGCAGAGCAAAATCAGCCATAAACAATACTTACGTAAATGAATGTGGGTTTGTTTACAATAAAACTTTATTACAAATACAGATAGTAGCTAGTTTTGATGGTATTCTGTAGGCCAAGGTTTACCAATCTCTGAGGTAGATTAGGAAAATATTTTTTAACAAGATTCTAAATATAGAGAAATTTAGGCCAAATACTTCTTATCCCAGCCTTATCCATAATAATAAAACACAGGTGCAGCTTGAATGTTTATCAGTAGGGGGATTGATTAATTTTGATTGTTCTGCTCAAGGAAATATTACATAGGTATTAAAGTCCTTCTTGTTAGTATTATGAGATGGAGAAATGCTTGACAGAATGTTATTGGAGGAAATAAAATAGTTTTTAACATAATGATGCATATGATGATGGTAGCTAACATGTAAGAATTTTACATACATCTAATCACTTAACCACGTAAAATGTACTTTTTAGTGCAACTACCTTATGCAGTAGCTGGGATTTGAACACAGGTGTGCATAATGCTAAAAGCCAAAATAAAAACAACTAAGCAAACTACTGAAAGCCCTAAATTAAACTTTATTAAAAAGAACAGAAGAAAGTATGCACAACAGTTGATATTGTCTGTCCTGAGTGTTAAGTGATAGACATTACTATTTTTAACAGGTTCAATATTTTCTTCAATGAGAATGTATTACTTAGTAATGAAGAAGCAATGCTTGCATTTTGTAAGGAAGCCAAGGTTAGAGGAAGATAAGGTGGGACTGTGGTGGGAGAAACATTTACCTGATGGAATCTAGTGATTCCCTCTGGCATGCTCTTAACCTGCTTGGTCCCTGCTTTTGTTTGTGGAAAGGACATGACAGTCCTCTTTCTTCTGTCTTGTATCGGGTTGAGTTGCATGGTGTTTTGTTTGCGTTGTTGGTCCATTTTTATGCTCTCTTGGGTTGACCTTTCAGTCCTAACTCTCTTTCTCCTCTCTTTCCTTCCCCCATCCATCCATGTGTCCCACTGTGCAGCTGACAAGGTCAATGATGACTTCTACTCCAAGCGACGGCACCTGGCTGAGCTGGCCGCCAAGGGGAACCTACCTCTTCACCCAGTAAGAGTGGAGGATGAGCCCCGGGCCTTCAGCCCCGAGCATGGGCCTGCCAAGCAGAATGGACAGAAGTCCCGCACCAACAAGATGCCCCAACATCCCCTGGCCTACAACTCTACCACCAACTTTAAGGGCTGGGACGCCAATGAGCAGTCCCTCCGGCGGCAGGCTTATGGCAACAAGGGCAAGCTGGGTGCAGCAGAGTCGGGTTCCAGTGACCCCTTGGGAACTCGCTCCCAACACTACCCACCCACACAGCCATACTTCATCACCAACAGCAAAACAGAAGTGACTGTCTGAGCTGTCGCTGCAGGGAGCACCCTGGAGACCACACTCAACTGATAGAGGCAAAAAACATCCCAGTCCATACCTTCCCTGCCCTGCCCCCTCCATGCACCCACACTCACTGTCAACAGGAACCGACTAGGGATCTACTGGTGATACGGCATCACGCTTTTCCTAGGTCATACCTAACATGCGTCAGGCAGGGGAAGTACTGAAGCATGGACATTCAGCAATACAGCAAAGAGGAAACTGAGGCAGTCTTTCAGCTTCAGGCCCAAGGTGGCCAACTCACTGGCCCAAATCACGGGGCTAATTTTTCTTTTCCTCCTAACTTAAAACTGAAATCCATGATGAAAAAAATAAACAAGTAGCACAATTTAGAGAAATTGTCCATTGGAGCACACATACCATTTACTAAGTGCTGTCTGTTTCTGAGTGAAAGAGGGATAGAGAAAGGACAAGGGTAGACACAAAACAAGAATGTACTTCAAAGAGGAGTTACCTTGGGAGGAATATACCCACATTCTAAGCATTTCCTAATCCCAAGAAGTGATGAGGTAGCAAAATGTGACAATTGTGGGACAGTAACTGAGCCCCAACCATTGTATCAATAGTACTTTTCATATTATCAATGTTGAAAGCAAAAAAGCAACACACACACAAACTCAAAAAAAAAAAAAATAGACCCTGAACCCACCGACAGTGATGGGAAAGAAACAGCGTTTTTAGAGAACTCCCATAGAGACCATGACTATGGAAATGGGAGAGATAGGCTGATGGCGGGAAGAGGATCCAGAGAGAATTCTAAATAAGTTTAAAAAGGGACAAATAAAATATAGGCTTACTACAGAACAGACAAGAACAGCAAATTAACTTTTGTCCAAAATCTTCAAGACTTGAGAAATCAAAATGATAACAACAACAACAAAATCTACAGTTGGAAAAGTCAAGAGATGAGATGAGAACCCAGAAGCTTCTGATTTCTGGCATTTTTCATTCACCTCCAAGCCTCGAAACAGCCACAGAAACAAGTCCTCTATTAACTGTCTATCTTTGACTTCCCATCCCCTTCAGCGCATTCCTGCAGGCGCTGCCAAACTTCAACTGCTTTGGACTGAAAATGTTATAAGCGTGGGTGGTGCCTTCAATGTGTTGTTGTTTGATGACAGTCTTGTTTCTCAAGTGCAACCCGTGTTCTTTTAGCCTTCCTCCTTCCTGTTTTTCTGCAGTAGTAAAATTGTTTCCATTCTTACTTTGTAGGTGAGCCCAGCCCATAACACTTCTGAGGGGTCAGCTGCAATGTCAGCAGTATCTGAGGACACTCCCACTAACCCCACAGTCCCTCTGAATCACTGTCCAGATACCCCATGCCTTCATCACTCACCTAGAATTTCCTTAAGTTGTCTTTCAGGTTGATTCTTATAATCAGTAGCCCTGGGGTACCCCACCAAAAGCAATTTTCCTAAAAATCTTGTTTGCTTAATGCATGGGGGGAGAAGCGAACATCATATAAAGTATGAAGTTTCCAACTAGCCCCTGAACATTTTAGCTAATTAATAGCTAAAAAACCCCACAGTTCCTCTGGTGTCAGAAATTGCAAATGTTCTGATCAAAGAATAGCATTTCTTGCAGCATTCTGCCTTCCGTCTCTCCACCCTGGCATCATGGAACCAACACAGCTGGATATTTATTCTCCCCATCGCTCCCTACAGATATAAAGACACTGACAATACTTTTGATCTCTCTGGGCCTTAGTTTCCTATCTGAAACATGGGGCATTGGGACTAGGTCAAACTTTAAAGCTTTCTGAAATATCAAAACCTCTGCCTCTTTTTAAACTGAAATCTTACAAAGAACCTACTATGTAAGGCTTCTATGTAAAAAGAGATGTGGTCCAGGGTGTAACAGGGGTGAGAGACCCCTTCAGGCTGAGGCCCTAGTACTCCCCAAAGTAAAGTCAACAGAGCTGGGCGTGGTCAGTATTTCAACATTAGTTAGCTACAGACCTGCAACACATGTAGGCATCTCTGTGTATTATCATCACAATATTTGTATCTAAATTGATTCATTTTTAATTTGTTATTTTTAGAAGGACAATTTCTTACTTTCATCATAAAAAATCAGTGTTATTTACTGTAAATAGAATGAATTAGTAAGTGCAAAAACAAGGCAACAGTGGTTAAATTTTAGCTAATACTGGTACCTGTGAAAAGGTTCACAGCCTAAAGTCTGGCACAAGCTTGTTCTGTTAAAAAGAAAGTATGAGATGTTACAGTGTTTGAGATACTAGTACCCAATGGAGACTTTCCTTGCATCAATCAGATGAACTGAAAGGTAAATAAAAAGGAATCTTTCAGGTGAATCAGTGTTAAATAGTGCTATATCCACTGTACTCTATCTACCACTGTTTTGCATAAACTAGTTGTACACAGCCTACACTTCACGAAATACTGGGCTTATCTGTGAGGCTCTCGCCAGCTCAAAGGTTCTATAACCCTTGTCTCCCCTCTAGCTTACCTTTGGCCTTTGTCATCAACCCACTTTATTTTATCCTTAACTCTGACAAAAGGATTTTCTTGGTCCCTGAATCTGTAGTGTTTTGTTTTTCCCTCCTGCTCCTCCTTTTTGGAGTAAACTCCATCTAGTTAACTTGGATCCTTGGAATCAGCAGATCTAATTTTGTCAGCAAAGATGTAGCCTAGCCTGTTACATAAGATGTAGCCATGATGGAAGCCTGGGAAGAATAAGTATTCCCAAAGTGGCACTGTCCAAGAAGGATGTCCCAAGGAGTACTTCCATTTCAACACCTTCCACTGAAGGAGATGGCTTAGGGAGATGAAGTGAGGAGAAAAGTTTGCGTGGGGAAGGCCTGCTTATCCTTTGACTTCCTTTTGAAATGGAGACAGACCTCATGATACTGACAGAGAGGGAAATCTATGGAACTGTATATGACTGCCATTATTGTGGCAAGGATCCTACAATAAGGTGAGGAGACCTAACAAAGAAAAACCAGATCAAAACAGACTGTACTCTCCTCATTCCATGCCCTGGTACTAGCCTCTTCTTCCTTTTGGCTGTTCCCTGATTTCCAGCCCAGTGGGATCAGTCTGGCTTCCCTTTGCCTTCCCAGAGTGTCTCAGCCTCCATTTGCCTTGGGCTCTGCCTGGCATCCCCATTTAATTCCTCCAGTTTTTTTGTGTAAATGGAGCATATTTTATGTGCAAATATTTTAGTAACTGTATGTTCTGCAAGTAAACCTGTGTTAATACTTGTCTCACCTGCAGAGTTTATGATACCAATAATACTTCCTACAATGAAGAAAAACATTTGTTTGTTTTCTAAGAATGTTTATTTGTAAACATATGTATTCACTATATTAATATGAATTTCTTACCTGGCAATAAAACTGATTATATGTGACTCTGTTGAGGTTGCTATGTATTTTTCTAGGGCTCTGCATTCCTAGTCTGAGTTCTCCCAGGAAACACCAATATTAATACACAGACCAAGTCTTTAGGTTTATTCCACTATATATATATATATATATATATATATATATATATATATATATATATTCCCTCTACTAAATTGGTTTTAATGATTAATTTGATTTTGCTGAGTTTTGGACTTTTTTTTAAAACCAGTGATCAGAGTTTTAAAACCAGTGATCAGAGTTATAGAACAATATTGAAAGGCTGGGACATTGAATTCTTCCCCTATTTGAAAAAAAGTTTTTCTTGGGCTTTGTTAGCATTGACATTTTTAAGTAGAAACCTGTCAGAATATGACCCTACAGGCAGAGGCTCTGAGACAAGAATTTGGGTGTAAGCATTTTATTTAATAAGTGATGGTACAATACAGAAGGGGAAAAATCTGAACAGGATTTTTCATACCAGCTGTAAGTACAGGTGGCAGAGGTTCAATGCTGTAGGCAACTTTATGAGACTGTGTTAGACACACCCATTCAGAATTATCATGCCCAAACAGACATTACTGATGAAAAGTTTTCAAGTACTGTTACTATTCAGACAGTCTGCCACATACAGAGATATTTTCCATGGCAAAGAGGTACTCCTATTGGTTATTTGGAAGTCACACGTTGTACACTGGATTCTAATTGTGCAAAGATGCCAGGAGTCAGGGCAATAACTCACAGTGGTTCCTCACAGATAGAGGTTTAGAGGTCTCTGGGATGAAACTCTGAATGCTTAGAGATTTTGTCAACATCAACAGACAGGGAGAGGGAACCACAATCAGCAGCCATAATCAGAGATCTTGGATTTCGGGTCCCCTCATTGACCACACGGTCACTTGGCCCCATCCAAAGAAGATCTCATTGTCACTGTTTGGGGAATTGTTCTGATTGTCAAAGGATCCTAGAAGGCATAAGATGCTCTTTTAGCGTGCAGAAGCTGATTAGAGATGGAATCCCTGACCAGAGCACATCACAGCCATAGATGCAGTCATAAGATAAGAGAATTATGCCTCTATGGGGAGGGACAGACTGACTTTCTGGTGAGGCCATCTGGTTGGTTACAACTTATAAACAACAGCAAAAATCTTGGAAAACAAGTTTGCAAAGCTAAACACTAATCCTTGGACAGTACCACTCAGGAAGTACTTGATCTTTCTGGGCTCCAATTATAGTGTTTTGCCATATTTGATCTTCACGACTAAAGAAGGTAAGTTCTAGTGTGTTTGAATATACTGCTCAGACATCTATTTAATGTTTGAGCATATCATGCAAATGAATTCAACTAGCAAGTTGTGGAACTGAAATTTGAAACCAGAGTTCAACTCTCCTGCCAGTTCTCACTTAGTTGGGCAGGGATGATTGATAAACATGCAAATTTCCAAGCTCTCCCTGCAGAGATTCAGATGAGGTAGTTATGAATTGGGACCCAACATCCAGTATGTGGGACAGACTTCCCACCACTGGAATGTGGAGGCTCTTGAACCTGGCTGAGAAATATTGCATGGTGCTAACATCTCTGGGTTTGTCACGAGGTGAGTGCTTCTAGTGGTACCCACTCCTGTGGTTTCATATCCAATGTTGAAAAGTTGTGTCCTGTAATAAATGAAAGATTGAGTTTAGAAGACCTTGGGAGGGGTGGTGGCATTGATTCAAACATGATTTTGCTGTGTTTTGGGGTCTGACATGAGCTATCTCTGGTATTCTATTGCCTCATCTCCAGAAAGAGGAGGTTGTGATCCATAATCTTCAATCCTCCTCTCTCACCTGATTGAGCCAGCTCCTTGTTACCATGGCAGTTGGTATAGCCTTCAAAATTGAATCTTTTATTATTTCCAAAGATTTGTTTCTGTAAAACCAAGGTTTTACTTCATGTAGTAATAACCTTTATAGTGACACTTCTGTGGTGTGAATACTTAGTAGATACATGGCTTTATGCTAAGGAATGTCTAACAGCCACTCATAACCTCTATGGAGGTTCTTAACCTTTTTTGTGCTACAGACGTATTTGGTGGTGTGGTGAAGTCTATGGATTCAGAGTAATGTTTTTCAGTATGCAAAGTAAAATATATAGAGTTACAAAGAAATCCATTCTCTTGAAATATGGTCATGAATGTATTTAAAACCCACATTTGTGATATATATGTTCTTGTTAAACAAATGCATTAAATAAAAGGCTCTACTGACCAATTTCAAAGCAATAGTATCACACACAACTATTTGAGCCATTTACTGCAACTACAAATCGATGTGACAATTATTTGTGATTCTATCAGTGACAAAGCTCCCATGAGTGTTAGCATGATTTTGGTTTGCTGCCTACATTTATAATTGAGGAATGTACTAAATTTCAATTAAAGCCTTATGAAAATACAGATCCTCTTCTGAATTAAGTTTACAAAACTCAATAATTTGACATATTGACTTTAAGGTGAGCCTGTGAGTAAGGTTAACACTCTTTGGCAACTTAGAGCTACTTACCTATTTTTTCATGCCTCTATTTTCTTCTCTGAAAGCTAGGAATAACAGTAACACATATCTAAATCATTGCCTGCCACGAGAAGTAAAATGATAAATAAAGAGATATTAGCTCAGTGCTTCACATCAGGTATATACTTAGGTGTTAGCTTTAGGCTATCATAATTATTTATTTTGTTTTTCCCCTATAATAACCCTGTGAAGTTGTATTGTTAGTACTCCCCAATCACAGAAGAAAAAGGTCACAGTTAGAGAGATAAAATTGTACAACTAACACAGCAAGACAGAGATGGTTCTTTCTGATAGAACCTCAAGTTCCTGACTACATAATACACTGTGTCATTTCTAAAGCAATTATATGTCTTCACTACTCCCTAGAACAAGACTCGCTAGACACTACATAAATAGCAGTGAGTATTCCTAATTCTTTACCTGCTCACGAGGCAAAATATATGGAGATGTAAAAGATCCAAAAAACGTTTCTGGGTGCATATTTATTTAAAGGTATGTTGGAGGCAGTTAACAGTAATGTGCTTTCATTCAACAAAATCCCCCCAGCTTACTGTTTAGCAGATCTCAATTGTAAGGACCTCACTGTTCCACAAATTGTCAGATTCTATTTGTTAATCAATTCTGTTAGCAATACACATCACATAATAATGAAATATCTCCTTCATAGATTTAATTTCAGTCTTGAAAAATAATAATCATAATATTAATAATAGCAATAGCTCCTGCTACCAATTACTGAGTTATTATCTGCCAGGGTCTGGGTTAGGCATTATACATCAGTGCTTTATTTCCTCCTCTGAATAGTACTCTGAGCTACAGATTTATACCCATTTTCCAGATGGGACATACTAATGCTCGGAGAAGTGAAATGACTCATCCCTGATTATATATCTAGTGAGTAGTAGGTTTGGAATTCAAGCATAGATGTGTCTGATTCACAATAATTCATTCATATTGTAATGATCCATACCTGTGTCTGCCTCTTTTGGGACTGAATTGTAATGTGGACCATAGTTCCACGGAGATAAATTTAAGAAAAAACATTTCTCTCCTGGATCAAGGAGTCTTTACTAATCCATGTTTACTCCTTCCGGCTATCCCTGTCCTGGAGGCATTGGGCTATGTTTTCTCAGTTGGTTTTTCTGTCTTCCATGGTCTTCGAGTCTATTCTGCATATTTCTCAGGTGAACAGCAAAACAGACTTGACCTTGGAATGCCTGAGCATCTGAAGTGGAAAGGAAAACAGGACCAGAAGAGGCCTTTAGGACAAGTGAACAGGAAACTAGGAATCCTAATTCAGGGTACCTTATTTTGATTTTGAGAAAGTCACTTCCTTTTTCTAGGAGGCAGTGTAAGCTTTTGGATAAGAATAGTACTCCTAGGATTTGAGGGGACATTCCTACGTTCCAGTGGGCAAAATCATAGCACCTAATAGCATCATGATGAGAATGAAATCTGATAACCTACATAAAGCTGTGACCACAGAGAGTAATATTTGTGATATTTTGAAATTTCATTCAAAAATCATCATGTGATTGAAATTAAAAGCAACACCAAACTCTTTGGCTCTGGGTAAAAAACATCTGAAGTTGATATCATACCTTTTATTCCAACTCTTTGGCTGTTGGTGATGTCACAGGCAATCCAGGAATATAATTTTACTGTGGGCCCTATTATTTATACTTATCGAAAATTTTTCTAAATAGGACATAAAATAAATTTTTGTTTAATAAATTTTGCTTTCTTGATTGAAAGGGTTTTTCAGGTCATAAGTCTATGGGGGATAAAAATAATAATGCCTTTGATAGTAGTAAAAAAAAAGACTGAGAACCTTGGATTTAGATGATATATTAGTTATCTATTTCTACATAACTAACACTTATCCCAAAACTTACCAGCTTAGAAATTTTTTTTAACCTCACAATTTTTAAGTTCAGAAATCTGAGCTTGTTTCCTTTATACTTTGCATCAGGATCTCTCCTGAGGCCACAATCAAAATGTCTGTTGGGGATCAGATATTTTCATCTGGGGCTCAGTTGGGCTAGGCTCTGTCTTCTAGCATTTGCATTGTTGTTGAATAAATTCAGTTGCTCAAAGACTGTTGGATTGCATGTCTCAGTTCCTAGCTGGTTCTGGGCCAGAATTTATTCCCAGTTTCTCCAATATGATAGCTTGCAAGTGTGTGTGTGTGTGTGTGTGTGTGTGTGTGTGTGTGAGAGAGAGAGAGAGAGAGAGAGAGAGAGAGAGAGAGAGAGAGAGAAGGAGGAAGAGGAGGAGGAGGAAAGGGAGGTGGAGAGGAGAGAGGGAGAAATAGGAGAAAGAGGAGGAGGAAAAAGAGGAAATGAGGCTGTTCACTCACTCACAAAACAGAAGTTTTGAAATGAAAGGATAGAAGTGATATCCCCTCAGTGTTGTCATAGTCTAATGGTAAGAAGCAAGCTACTCAAGGGGAATGGGT